GGCCTGGCTTGGAAGACTTGTTTGTAAGTGCCATTTATGTGTCTTCCTAGCTCTGTTTTTTTTTTTTATTTAGTCCTATGATTTATTTAGAAAAGAAATATGTGTTTTGTGTGTATGTGCTTGTCACCACACATACCATGTGGGTTCTGAGAATCAAACTCAGGTTTTCTGGCTTTGTGACAATTGCCTTCACCCACTGAGCCATTTCTGTGATCTCTTTTAGCTCCTGTTTCCTCATCTCTAAAGTTGGCAAAGTGTCCTTTAATAAACAGGAAGAAAAAGAATAGTACCCATGCAGCGTACTTTGTAACCAAGTGCCCTGAACAAAGAGTTCATTGTAGCATGGGAGGGAAGCTAATGCTCTTTTGTGCAGAGTAGAAGGAAGTAACTTTCCTAAGGGTCAGCATCTGTAGTAAATGGTCTTAACTTTCTAGAAATATGTTAGTTGAGCTGGGAAGTTAACCGTGCAAGCATGAGGCCCTGAGTTTGTTCCCAGAACCCACATGAAAAGCCAGGTATGACAGCAGATGCCTCTGATCCCACCTGTGGAGAGACAGAGAACTCTCTGGCCAGCCAATCTGAATCATTGAGCTCTAGGTTGAGACCGTCTCAAAAAAAGGGAGAGCAGTTGAGGAAGAAACAGGATGTTGGCCTCTGGCCTATGCACACTCAACTTACATATGTATGTTCGTTTCTAAGATTAAATTTGTGTCTTGTACGCTTATTTTAATAACAATGCCACTTGTCACTTTTTCAGTGATACTTTTAGAAATAATAGTCAAAACCAAGTCTTAAAGGAAGGTCTTACAATTTCTAGTATATCAGTGTGTTCCAATGCCTACTTTGTGCCAGGCAGGCATGACTGAGCATCTAATTGCCTTTCTATGAGAGTTTAGACTTATGTGGAGTAAGAGCAACAGTCCTCTTTGCTCCCTTTTCTTTCTTAAGGCAAACCCTACAATTGACATTCAAAGATATTTATAGAAAATGTTGTGTGTGTGTGTAAGCCTTGCATTGATAAAAGAGTAGTGGGTTCAGTATCAGAAAACAATTCTAGTTTCCAAAGTTTTACATCTTTTTATTTGTTTTAAATTGACAAAATTGTGTGCTTATCATGTGTAACTTGATGTTTGGACATACATTATGAGATTACTAACTGTGATAGACTTCCTCACATACTTAGAATCTTATGTCATGACAACACTTTACCTACCAGTATTTTTTTTTAATTGTAATTGCCAGGTGCTTTTTAAATACAAAATTGAAATGGAAGGTTAGCATGTAGACTACTCTTAGTTCATGCTGTCATTATCAACTAGGAATACCATTCATATATAGGTGTTGGAAACTCAAGTGTGGTTTATTCATATGCAGTGACTTGATACAGTGAGCATATATGAATGCTGGGTTAGTAGCCAAAACACAAGTTTAAGTTTCTACAGTAGTGTTAAACAACAAAATTATGAGTAGAGACTGGACCTGATCTTAGTAGTGCCTTTTCCTAGTTGCTTCAAGGATTGAAGTAGTTAATGTTGTTTCCTTTTTATTTTAGGCTGGTACACACCTCCAAAGGAAGATGGCTAACTACACTGACATATGTCTGGACCAATGTCGCTTTAAAGAAAATCGTTCCAACGTGCAGACATAAGCTTTTGAGTGCCCGTATAACAGCAGTACCGAAGACATTAGCTAATAGATTATATAGCGGATAATCTGTCAACTGACATCCAGATACAGCCTTTTCATTTTGCTCACTTTAGGTATCTTGGACTGAACAGTGGGGCCTTTACTGTATTTTTCCTATTAAGTACACACAATAGCCACTCCCTACCACCTCTTTCTTGAAAAGTGAAATCTTTTAAGCAAGCAGGGAAGTCAGCATCAGTTTACTGCAGCTGTGAATTTACAGTAACCTTCTTATATTGAGCCTATGGGGTATGAAGATTTGCAAAATCTTGTTCGTTTAGAGCCAATAAAAGTTTAACTGATGGTCAATACTGGTTTAGGAATTTTAGGTCTTCTAAACCATAGCCTTTTCAGGTCTGAAATCTTTTTATTGCCAAAATTATGACAGGAAGCCTCTTCATTAAATTGTTAACTTTTTCATGGTTGTGTGAAAGTTTGAACTGTTTCTGTTTGAATAGTTATATTCTTTCATATTAGGGAAAGCAAAGTGAGCCATTTGTGAGCAGTGCTTTCCCCTGCTGTGCTGAACCTGCCTCCTCCGGTTCAGCATTTTTTGGGAAGAGCCACAGTGTAGAGCCCGAAGTTCTAAACTATGAAGTTATTTTACCTTTCCACTTATTAACGGGGTGTTGCAATTGTTGATAAACTGATAAACTTCTAAACTGATTGGTACAAAGACTCCTTGAGCAAAAGTATAAAAGATACCTAAATTGGAGACCATTAAATTTTTTTGCTATAGCCATACAGTGCTTTTCCATCAGAAGACCAGTACGAATTCTGCATATGTTAATCTTTTATACGATGTGACACAAGTCAATGTGCTTTCCATTTTACCACCTTACCTGAATCAGTACTCTTTGTTGGTAATAGTTTTTTTTTAATAATCCTGAATTTGATTTAAATATAAACTCTATCTATTAAGCACTTTTAAGAAGAAACCCAGAAGCACATTTTCCTGCACAAACCAGTACAGAGTATTTTTCCTTCTTGTTTTCTTTTTGCTTTTGTTTTTGATTTTCGAGATTTCTGTGTGTAACAGCTGGCCTTGAACTCACAGAGGAGTGTTGGGACTAAAGGCACGTGCCACCATCACCTGACTCAGAAGGTGTTTCTTACACATTTGATTTTAGATTCTTTTCTTTTTCTTTTTTAAACTTTGCAAACCACATTCAGGAAACTTGGCACTGTGCATTTTGTGTTTTTAATTTTTCCTGATTCTGTTTTGTTGGTTAAGAGGACAGGTTAAAGATACGTGGTATTTTTGCTCACTTGGTTCCCTTTAAATGATTGTCAGTGCTCGGATAGCAGTGACAAGGCAGAATTCTTCAAAGCAGTATAAAGTTCCTTAAGCCTTAAGGCAAAATCTTGAATACATTATTGAATTCTTTAATATCCTAGTGGCTAGCGGATTTGACAGCTGCACATTTGGCATGCTTTGTTTTTTGGATTTTATTTTTCATTGCAGATTTATTTGGCAATGTACAGTAAATTTTGTAAACTTGCATCAAGTTTATGAATAAAGAACCATTTAAAAATCACTTTGTCACCTTTCCCTCATAAGAAATGCTGTGATTCAGGTGTCTCTAGCTCTACTAAAATTCTAGTGTAGGGTATTTAAGAGAGGATGGGTGTGGAGAGATTTCAGGGGTGAAGATGAAGGCTGATTTAATGAGAGAGGTAGGGAACCTAGAATTGGTATGCACAATCAGTGCACTCAATTTTTCTTTAGCCATTCCCTTTACAGTCTTTAAACTCAAATGCTTGTGGGTTTGTTTGTTTGTTTGTTTTTTGTTTTTTTGGGGGGGGGTTGTTGCTGTTGTCGTTTTTGTTTTTGTCTCATTTTCCAGCCCAGGCTATCTGGCAGGGATATTGTGGCTCAAGTACTATTTTAATTATATCCCTAATTTTCTCAGGATACTGATAGCACACTCCCTCTATTGTCTTATGATCCTTATACACACCGCTGACAGTTTATCTTACAGGCTTTAGCTCAGTATGTTTGGATAATACTCTTTTTCTCCGTGACTGAAATTTGCCATTCATCTTTGGTTTGGATGTTTTATTTGAATGCCATCCACCCTACTTCATTCAGAAACAGTGGCCCACTCCGAAGGTCCTCTTAGGTGTGGGAATCTTTAGAAGTCCTCCTCTTTAACACACTGCCTTCGCTTTCCCTTGGTCCTCATCACATGCCGCTGTTCACCCCCAATGGGTCCATTGAATAGTTTGGGGCCTATAGTCCTGAAAGTAAGACTTTGGGATTCCTGGAGACCCTGGGACCTGCTGGGGTTTTTATTATCAGAACGCATTTGGGGTTTCACACATTCTCGAGGTACAGTGAAGTGTTTGGAGACTGTTTGCCATCTATGTTTGCTATTAAGTAGCCATAAGGTTTCCAGAGTAAAGTGGCAGTTTGTTACTGAGGGGCAGGGTGCTTTTAAAGAGGTTTTTCTACATTAAAAACAAAACAAAGCCGGACGGTGGTGGCACACGCCTTTAATCCCAGTACGCGGGAGGCAGAGGCAGGCTGATCTCAGTGAGTTCGAGGCCAGCCTGGTCTACAAGAGCTAGGTCCAGGACAGGCTCCAAAGCTACAGAGAAACCCTGTCTCGAAAAACAAAACAAACAAAAACTTAAGTTGTTAATGTGTTTAGATTATCCCACGTTAAATTTTCTTGAGAAGCTCAGGTTTTCGCCTTGTGAACCTCCTGCCTCCATCTTGCTGGATTAGTCATGCACCACCATGCTCACCTCAAAATGTAAATATATCAGTGTCAGGGGTTATGAGGCCAAAACAAGAAGCACCAGGTCAAACCAAGTAGATGGGAACCAAAACCCCTTCAATCAGGAAACAACTGGATTCAGTTGGAATGAAGTTGAATCTGTTCTTTTCATTTATGGTTCAGAATATGTATGTGAACCACGGGAAGGTTTGTTAAAATAGACTCTTGGGCCTCGTCTCCTGTTTTTCAGTAGCCCTGAAATGAATGAAGATGAAGATCTAGTACGAGCAAAAGCATTCTTCCTATTTTGAAAATGTCGGTCTGCTTTGGTGTATGGTTCTAGCAGCAATTATAGTGGCCAAAGAATAGCGAGTGCTATTTAAAATACTCGTTTAAAATTTAAGGGCTAACGTGTTAACCAGATTCACTGAATATATCGAGTGTTTGCAGCCGGCTCAAGGGCCAAGCTGCACCGTTTCTTTCCGGGCGAACAGCGCAGGCGTTACAACGCGGCGCACAGTGGCTGCCGTAAGACCAGTGCCGGAAGCTGTCCGCCGGAAGTGGAGCGCGCGCCTGCTCAGTGGGCCCGGGTGGGCGGCAGTGTGCCCGGCGCTCGGCTTCTGAGCTTCCGTAGGGCTTCTGGCCGGTAGGCGAGGAATGGAGCCGGTGGGCGGCGGCGGCTCCTCCTCCACCGACCCGCGAAGTACCTTCGTGCTGAGTAACCTCGCGGAGGTGGTGGAGCGTGTGTTCACCTTCCTGCCCGCCAAGGCGCTGCTGCGGGTAGCCGGGTGAGGGCGAATGGCGCGGGAGAAGACTTTCGTCCCCTTGGGTGGCGGGTCTGCCCAGACCGGGATCCCTGCACAGGTCTCCTGGCGCTCGGCCCCTGCAGCGCTGCAGACGGCGGGAGCGGTCCTCCCGGCGGCAACCTTTTGTGCTTTTGCGTCCCCAGAGTGTGCCGCCTATGGAGGGAGTGTGTTCGCAGAGTGCTGCGGACCCACCGCAGCGTGACCTGGATCTCCGCAGGAGTGGCGGAGGCCGGCCACCTGGAAGGACATTGCTTGGTCCGCGTGGTAGCAGAGGCGCTTGAGGCAAGTATGGGTGTGTGCCGTGGACAGTCATTTGCAGGACTGGTGGGCCATCTTTCAGAACTTTTTTTTTAAATCACGATTATGATACATGCTTTTGCTTTTAATTTGGGGACCTTTGCTCGTGGTCCGGAAAGACTTTGTAGTAAACATCAGGTGTTGTAAGGGCGTGCTGCAGATGCTCATTAGATGTTGGGCAATTGAAGTTAACAGGTGTCGTTGTTAAAACTTCTGCAGACCCTTCCTTCACTTGTCTCTGTTTTGCAATGAAGGCATTCTTATCAGGGTCACACACTAGAAATAAACTAAAATTTATACCTAAATTACTTAAGTCACAGCCCTTATCTCATTTGCGTCCCTGGATCCAGGAAAGTCATTACACCGGGAGGTGAAGACAGATTATAGAGCCGGTAGTGAAGTTCCGGTATCTCACTGAGAGGCAGATACCCTTGAGAGGAAATTGCCAATTTGACGGCCCATTACATCTCCCTTAGTATGTATAATATGCAAACATGAATGTTCTATTCAACGACAGTGTCACCTCCAGATTGGAAAATTATCATCAATACATGAGTTTATTAGAGTTTGTTTTTGTTTTGTTTTTTCAACTGAACACAAGCTAGAAAGAGGGAACCTCAAGTGAATGCCATCATCAAATTGCCCTGTAGACTAGTTTGTAGAGCATCTTCTTTATTCGTGTTTGGTGTGAGAAGGTCCAGCTCACTGTGGGCTGTACCAGCCCTGGGCAGGTGGTTCTGGGGTATATGAGAAAACACACTGAGCAAGCCATGGAGAGCAAACCAGTAAAGATGGCTCCTCTGTGTCTTCTGCTTCAGTTTCTGCCTCCAGGTTCCTGCCTTGGTTTCCTTCTGTGAACTGTCATCAGGGATATGTAAGCCAAATAAGCCCTTTCCTCCCCAGATTGCTTTCGGTGCTGGTCAGTACCACAGCAATAGAAACTAAACTAAGATAATACGTTACCTAAAAAGACATCTGAGGTTGGCCTGAAAGGGACTTTCACTAGTCAAATTGGAGATAACTTTAGCATTAAAATAAAAGATGATAGTAATAAATGCATCCTTCAGTAAGAGACTGCAGACATACTGTTGTCTAGTTTTCAGACTCCCATTCAGATTTTGCCCCATTACTGTTCTTGATAGCAAAAGGATTCAACTCCCAGTAACTTTAACTAAAAGTTTCTTTTTTTAAAAAAAAAATCATTTATTTATTTGTTTATTATATATACAATATTCTGTCTGTGTATATGTCTGCAGGCCAGAAGAGGGCACCAGACCTCATTACAGATGGTTGTGAGCCACCATGTGGTTGCTGGGAATTGAACTCAGGACCTTTGGAAGAGCAGGCAGTGCTCTTAACCACTGAGCCATCTCTCCAGCCCTAAAAGTTTCTTTAACTAAAATGTTTCTTTGATTTGTTCAGTTTCACCAGCTTGTCTTTTCCTGCCAGAACACTTAAGAAAATCTAAGGCTAGTTAATTTGTAGAACATTCACAAATTGAGTGTGACTGAGGTTGATTAGATTTCGTCAGGAATGATGGGAAAGCAAGGGTGTGTTCTCCCAGTATTCTTCCAGGTGGCCTCTGGTTTTCATTTGTCTCATTATTTTAAATTATTTGATTCAGGTGATATCTACCAGAAGCCTCTACCTTTAAATTTTCTGGCCTGCAATGAATAAGTATTTCTGGATAGAAACTTTGAAACTTAGTCTTCTCTTTCCTTTTGTTCATATATATATATATGTATATTTGCACATGCTGCTAGTCTCTTATTCAAAGCTATATCTGTTACTGTGTCTATCTTGTGCTTACACTGTCTTTGGTTTGACTAGTGAGCTCCCAATCCAGCTTCAGTGTCTTTTAGGGATGACCTTACTTTTTTAGTACCAGATGTTTTTAGCTTGTTTTTTGCCTGCTTCATTTGGGAAATTAGTGGTTTCTCTAGTAGTCTTGATTGCTTTTAGTGGAAGTTGGTATTTAGAACTAAGATTTGTACTGTGTAAGTACTCACTGCTGCTGAGGGGTTTGCTGCCTCTACTTTAGCCCAGATAGGAGTACATGTATGTATCTGCATATAGTTGTTCTTTGGTATTGTCAGGGTATTCGTTGCCCCATATTGAAGTCCACAGATGCTCAAGTCCCTCATAAAGTGGCATAGTGGGGCTGGAGAGATGGTTAAGAGCATTGCCTGCTCTACCAAAGGTCCTGAGTTCAATTCCCAGCAACCACATGGTGGCTCACAACCATCTGTAATGGGGTCTCGTGCCCTCTTCTGGTCTGCAGGTATACACACAGAATATCATATACATAATAAATAAATATTTAAAAATAAATAAAGTGGCATAGTATTTGTATTAACCTGCATAGCTCACCCTCATATTTAAATTTAAATCTCCAGATTATTTATACCTAATCTAAGTAGACTATATAAGTAAATAATGACAAGAAAAAGTTTGTACATACTCATTAGAGATGCGCCCACCCCCTTTTTTTAAATAGCCACATTTGAGTCCTTGAATGAAGAGAGAGGTGGAAAGCTGACCAGATGTGTATCTGAAACTATGTTTCTATCTGTGCATGGAAACTCTTGCGTTTCTTTAAATGCAATGTGTCCAATCCTACCTAAGATTTTGTCTCACTTCCTCTCATGTTTATATCTCCCTTTTTGACAGTGGGAAACCTAGCTCTTAAAAAAACAAAGCTTTTATTTTTGTGTCTGTCTATATATGTGTACATGTGTGCAGGTGCCCATGGAGGTCAGAAGAATGCATCGGATCTTTTGGAGCTGGAGTTAACAGTTGATTGTGAACTCTGTCCTCTGAAAGAACAGCAGTCGATCTGATCTCTCCAGCATCTCTCCGGCCCTGGCTCTTGTCTTTAATGTGCCTGTCCCAAGTGTGCTGTCCTCAGTTCCATGCTAATCTTGTGTAGGTTTTCTTCTTTGCTCTTTGGACTCTTGGACTCATACCCAGAAGGCTGGCTAGCCTCTCCCAGGCCTGTGGGAGTATTGTTCTCTCTGATCAAAACCCTGCAGTTTGTTTGTCAAAATCTGTTATTTGGGAAAATTCAAAATACTAGCAAAGCTTTTTCCACAGAAGTGTTTTCTGGAGCATCATATACAGTGAGGGAGCTTAAAACAACTCACTGTTCAGTAAAAGAAGTCATGAAATTATAAATTGCAAGGTACATTCAGTGATAAGATCTTCATAAAGGGGCTGGAGGGATGGCTCTGTGGTTAAGAGCATTGTCTGCTGTTCAGAGGACCTAAGTTCAGTTCCCAGTCACAAATGCCTGTAACAACTGGTTTCTGAGGGCACCTGCACACACATAGCACACATTTGGACACATACATAAGAAATAAAAAGTTTAAAATGTTGGAAAACAGATTATTAAATTATATACTTAGTGTCATCTAGTCCTGTGATTTTTTTTTTTTAATGCTCTTTTAAACTACCTGTGGCTGTTTTCAACTTTTTACCACAGTAGGCATTATTTTTTGGCTGTGAATTTCATACATTGTAGTGGTTGTTATATACAGAGAGTCTTAGACCCATTTTTGGCTCAAGCTGGCAATGTAGCTTTGACCTCTCTGAGCCTTAGGTTCCATTTTTATAAATTGAAAAGGGAGAGCAATAATTCTTTTGTGTGTTTATTGGGTTTGTCTAAGGATTAAATGGCAAAAAGATAATGTATATTACATGTTATTTATAATATATGGCTATAAATTTTCGATGGATATTAAGAATTGTCATATCACTATTAAAGTTCAGTTAGTAGTAGCCCTAAAGAAATCAAACTCTTGAGACAGAAGCATAGTCTCTAAGTGATACATGCTGCTTTCTCTGTGTTTTCCAAATCATCTTGTGGATAGAGTATTTTAATACAGATATAAGGGGAGTTCCTTAACGTCCTTAGAAATATTTTGAACTTTTTTATAAGCCAGCTTGCCATTTGTAACTTGTTTGAATAGTGTAGTCCCAGGCTCCTTGTGCTACAGTGAGAGTGTTTGAGGCTTGGCGTAGTTCCTAGTGAGAAATAGGAAGGGAAATGGAGACGTGTGAGTGCCAGAAAAAAAGAACCTTAGAATCTCAAGACGAGGCTTGTATATTTATCTAAACACAGGACGCTCAAGGCCTGACTACTTTGAAATTTACCACTGGTTATGGCAGAGGCAGAAGCAGGCTCTGACTCCTTCACTCAGCAAAATTTCTGGGTGAAATAATCCCACGGTTTATTATGATTATTAATCCAATAGACCAAGTGGGTCTGGTAGCTCAGTGGAGTTGGAGGTACTGGACGGTCTGCCTAGCCATAGCTGAAAGGCAAGCAGTCTGAGTGTTGCCAGTGTTTTATCTAAAAGGGCTTCCCAAAATATGTACGAACTCTGGAAATTTAAATTGTGTCAAGTAGTTACTTTAAAAAATGTCAGTTGAGGGGCTGGAGAGATGGCTCAGAGGTTAAGGACGCTGACTGTTCTTCCAGAGGTCCTGAGTTCAATTCCCAGCAACCACATGGTGGCTCACAACCATCTACAATGAGATCTGGTGCCCTCTTCTGGCCTGCAGTCATACATGGAGGCAACACACTGTATTGTATACATAATAAATAAAATCTTTAAAAAAAAAAAAAAATGTCAGTTGATCCGGGCGGTGGTGGTGCACGCCTTTAATCCCAGCACTCGGGAGGCAGAGGCAGGTGGATCTCTGTGAGTTTGAGACCAGCCTGGTCTACAAGAGCTAGTTCCAGGACAGGTTCCAAAGCTACAGGGAAACCCTGTCTCGAAAACCAAAACAAACAGAAACGCCCGATAAAACCAAGAATTTGTATCCATAGGTCATAGGTCTTACCCAGCCCACAGAATAGTATTCAGTGTCTTTCATTGGTTTATCTAGAACCTACTCTGAAACATGTAAACCACCTCCAGACTGCAAGGCAGTGAAGTTGTGCTCCATAATCTGCACATTATTCCATTCTGATAGAAAAGCACTTGATAGAAGGCTTTTCCATTTAGTGCACACGTGTCTATGATGGGAGGCGTAGGAAAACCAGTGGTCTGAAGAACCCTGCTCAGAGTGGACACAGCACAAGCTGTAAGGATGTCACATGGAAGTCCCCAGTACAAAGGGTGTGGCATCTAGGAGCAGGCGTTGAGAGGTTTGTTCTAGGGTACGTTAAAGGAAACAAGTTTAAGGTGCTTGGCAGCTAGGGAACATGTTTAAGTGTGGGCAGGTCTGGTAATACTGAGCTTGGAGCTGGAAAGGAAAACCAGAAGGGGGGTTCAACCTATGCACCTGCTGCCGCCATCGGGATGCTTCTTATTTCCGTTCCTGTTAAGTAAAGTGAGAGACAACTTTAACTGGTAAACCAAATATCTGTTCTAAAAGAGTAAATGAACTTCTTGAGGCCTGAGATAAATTTGATGTGAAAAAAAAAAAATACTGCTACTCAGTAAATAAACTGATAAGAGTAGGAATGACCCATGAGAAGTAATAGGACTCGGGGAAGGGAGGAAAGGAGGGAGGCAGCAGTGAGGACTCAGGGTGGAGGGAGCAGTGAGGACTGGGATGGGGAGGGAGGCAGTAGCTTTTTTGTCCTTAGGGATAGTGGCGGATACTTGGGGAGCACAGAAGCATTTACAGAGTCAGATCCAATTATCTTTTTCTTTGCAGAATGTTCGCATCTTACCACGGACCGTCCTCTACATGGCAGATTCTGAAACTTTCATTAGCCTGGAGGAGTGCCGTGGCCATAAAAGAGGTATATGTAGAAAAAAGGGTTGGGCTTTTGTTTCCAACATTTCCTACTGCTAAGTGCAAGCCTTCCAGGGCTTTGGGGCGCCGTTCCTGTACTCATGCCTCTGTTTGGCTTGAGCTAAGGAGCCCTTTGTGTGCAGATTGATGTCTGACCTCCTGGTCTAACTGGAACAAAGTTTTTCAGAAAGATTTTTGTTTTGAAATACTCTAAGCCTCCAGTTGTACTTCCCTTTGTTAAAACAGGAGCCTGGCTTTGGTTATCCAAGCCTGTTCATGTATGATGCAGCGCTATGGGATTCCAAAGCTGTTTGCAGACACTCTGCATTCTTGACTTGCTAAGGGGAACCCAGCTCAAGAACACAAGATGGGGCCCTTTGGCACAGACTTTGATTTGTACATTGTCTGGCCTGAATCTGACTGACTGGAGTCCAGTAGTAGTTGTGCCATGACACCAGCTGAACAGAGATCCCATAAATAATAGCACCTCTCAGACTCAGTGCTGCGCCAAAGTTGATGCCTTTGGGCAAAAGTAAGGACAAGGGCAAACTATTAATGGCAAAGGGTAGGTTTAGAATTCGAATAAAACAGACACAAAAATGGGGAAACCGCTTATTTTAATCAAAATATTCAAGCTTGCCAGGTGGCGGCACATGCCTTTATTCCGAGTTCTCAGGAGGCAGAGGCAGGTGGATCTCCTTGAGTTCAAGGCTAGCCTGGTCTACAGAAGTCAGTTCAAGGACAGCCAGTACTGTTACTGAGAGAAACCTTGTGTACAAAACAAATCTAAGGTCCTCCCTCCCTCCCTCCCTCCCTCCCTCCCTCCCTCCCTCTCTTCCTCCCTCCCTCTCTTCCTTTCTCCCTCCCTTTCCTTCCTCCCTCCCTCCCTCCCTCCCTCCCTTCCTTCCTTCCTTCTTTCCTTCTTCCCTCCCTCCCACTCTCCCTCACTTTCTCCCTCTTTACTCCCTCCCTTCCTATCTCCTTCCTTTCCTCCCTCTTTCCTCCCTCCCTCCTTCAATTGCTTCTTCCTTTTTCTTTGAGATAAGGTCACATGTAGCCCAGGCTGGCCTCAAAAACTCACTGTATAGCTAAGAGATTACCTTGAACTTCTGATTATCTTGCTGTTGGAGGAGGACTTGTTCATTCCAGCACCCGGCTAGCTTACATCTGAAATAATCACACAGAAACTGTATTGATTAAAACACTGCCTGGCCCATTAGCTCTAACTTCTTATTGGCTATCTCTTACATCTCAGTTTAACCCATCTCTATTAATCTGTGTATCGCCATGTGGTAGTGGCTTACTGGAGATTCTAATCAGTGTACATCTAAGGTGGAGGATCCATGGCTTCTCTGACTCGCTTTCTTCCACCCAGCATTAAGTTCTGTCTCCCTGCCTAAGTTCTGCCCTATCACCAGGCCCAAAGCAGTTTCTTTATTCATTAACCAATGTAAGCAACACATAGAAAGAAGGACCTCCTACACCATCTTGCTTCTATCTTCAAGTGCTAGGACCACAGCATGCACCACTTTGGGGTTCATGTAGCACCATGGCTGATGATTGACCGATCGAACCTAGGCTTCTTGCATGCTAGGCTGGTCCTCTACCAATTGAGTTATGCCCCCAGCCTCATAACCTTTTCGGTTGTTAAATATTACTTTTTGTGTCTGTCTTTTTTTTTTTTAACACTGTTAGGTTTGACAATGAAAAGTGGATATTTAATAATTGTGCTGCTTTATTGTTACAGCGAGGAAAAGAACTACCATGGAGACAGCGTTTGCCCTCGAGAAGCTGTTTCCCAAACAGTGTCAGATCCTTGGGATTGTGACCCCGGGAATTATAGGTGAGAGAAATTAACGACTTATTTTTTGCTTAGTTTAATGTGGGGTCCCGTGGATTGGTGAACTAATTATAGCTGGAGAGCACACATTCACCTTTCTGGTGGCATGTAAAACCAAGAGCAGTAGACATCTGTCCTGGTGGAACCTTGTCCTCGGTGTCAAGTTGTTGAGGTTCACAGTTCAGATCACAGGGCTGCCTAAGAGCAGCATATAACCTGACTTCCTTAGCCTTTCCAGGGAAGGAAGGGTCTCATTGTGCCTGCCCCATTCCTGTCTGGTCAGTTCACCCACTCTTGTTTCCTGCAGGCGGGGCAGCTGAGAGTGACAGGTTACAGTGCGTCTTACGGAGAGACTTGTTTCTCTGCATGCTGCCAGCATGGCACATGAATTTTTGCTGTTACTGTTTGAATTGTTTCCTGTTGATGTAGCGGTGGTCCAGTGGTTAAGATAACTGGATCAGGATTCCAGCTGTACCACTTAGTGTCTGTGTTACTTTGTATAGCTTACCTGACGTCCATGAGACTTGAGTGTCCTCATCAGGGAAATGGGAAAGCGCCTTCTTAGGAGGGCTGTGAAGATGCAGTGACCCAGCACATCTGTGGCCTTTAGAGCAAACCATGCAGCAAGATGTCAGCTGTTGTTTTCTGGAGCCTTGCAGGTGGTTAGTTGGTAAAGTGTCTGCTGCACAGGCATAGAGGCCCTCATCAGCTCTGGACTCCCATACAAGCACCCTGAAAGACTTTTGGTTTGCATCTCAGAGTCCTGTGCAGTGAAGCACAAAGGGTTCTGGGTGTTTGCAAATGAATAGGGCCTGCTCTTCTCTGCCCCACCAGCTCACCAGCTCCTTACCGCAGGGCTGCTGTAGCTCTGTACACACTTGGACTAATGAAGCAATAGCGGTGACTGTGGTTTTCTTCCAACTTTTGAGTTGACTTTAAATAGCTGGTAGCCTTCACCTCATCACTGGTCACTGTTGGATACTAATGTAGAGTCGGGCACCTTCCTCACATCTTTTTTCTCGGCTCTCATTATATCCACTGCCTTTACTTGAACACAACTGTGCTTCTTAAAGTTATCTGCTGTAGGAATAGGGGCAAGAAAGGGAAGGCAGCCTTGGTGGCATCCTGCCTCCCCAGTAAGCAGTCGCAATCCCAGCTCTCCTTAGTCACTGCCTTGTTCTGAGCAGCTTAGGCTTTGTGTTGCTTTATGTCCCCATGGTCTTATGTTTGTGGTTAAATACCATTCCATCTGCTTTGGTCATGGTATGGCTCTGATGTTTGCTGGGCCCTCCTCATACTAGTTGCAGTCATTTAAATAAGAATGGCCCCCACATGTTCATAGACTTTTGAGTGCTTGGTATCCAGAGAGTGAAATTGTTTGAAAGGATTACAAAGATTAGGAGGTGTGGCTCTGTTTTGTTGGAGGAAGTTTGTGATTGGGGATTGTAAAAGGACACTTCCTGTCTCAAGTGCCTGGTCCCAAATAACCGACTTAGAGGATTAATCGCCTGTGGAGCATGCCAAGCTGGCCAAGCTGCAGGAATTGTGTGGAGGATCGTGCAGGAGACTTCGGCAGGAGACCATGGTGCTGCGAGGCTGCCTTCAGGAGAGCCAGGGTGGCTGCCTCTCCGCTGCTTCCCTGGTTATGCTGTGCCCGGCAGTGAAGGGCACCATGGCCACTCTACTTGATGGGGCTGAGCAAATGCTCTGCTGATAGCTCAGGCTTGGTATTAGCTAACTTTTAAATTTAAATTAACCCATATTTCTACCTATGCTTTACCACATGGCTGATGACTTGTTACCTCATTTTCTACATAACCTGCTTGCTTGGCAGCTGGCTGGCATCTCCCTGACTCCGCCCTTCTTCGTCCCAGTATCCTCTGACTCTGGCTATCCGCTACTGGTCTGTCATGTGAATATGAGCAGTACCTATCATAGTGTAGAAAAGGATTGTTCCATAGCAGGGGATGGGCTTCCTTCTCTGCCTGCAAGCCAGGGTGTGGTTTTCAGTGACTTCTCCAGGACCACTCTTGCTGCTTCCACGCTTTCTGCCATGATGATCGTCAGCCTCGGAAACTGCACAAGCCTCCAGTTGAAGCTTCCTTTTGTAAGAGCTGCCTTGGTCGTCGTGTTTCTACACAGCAGTAGGACAGTGGCTAAGATACTGGTCTTACCAGGCTTCTGGTCTTCACTGCTGATGCTTTGAGCTTAGCTGTTTCTTTACTTTTGGCCTGACAGTCCCTGCCACAACCCCTATTCTGACTTCTGTGGTGCTAAGGTAGTTTTGCCAGGTCAGTGTCTTATACATGGTTGTTCTCTTTTTGTGTTTTGGCTCTTTACTGGGTATAAATATTTAACACGTCTCTGAGATGGATTTGTTACATTATAAGTAATTCCTTTAAAGCTGTGTGCTTGCATGTGCAGGTCAGAGGTTGTCAAGTGTCATCTTCTGTTGTTCTTTTGAGACAGGGTCTCTCACTGAACTTGAGGCTCACTGTTCTAGCTAGACTGGCTGGTCAGTGAACTCCAGGGGTTTGCCTTTCTCTACTTCCCACTTTGCCTGACCTTAGTGTGTGTCTGGGGTCTGGTTTGGAAGACTCTGGTCTTCATGCCCGTACAGCAGATATTTTATCAGCTGAGCCATGCCCCCCCTTCATTTAAGTGTTCGAGTCTTTCTATGATATAAATGGGACAAGATTTATTTTCCCATTCTTGTTTTGATAGGCTGTGGTTTTTCTGATTCTAGGTATTGTGAATGAGTCTGGGTTTTTTTGTGTAAGTTTTATAAGTTTCTCTGAAACTTAAGGAGTTGGACTTTCTTGGTTTTAGCACTGACCTAAAAAGAAAGGCAAGTTTTCCAAGGTTCTGCCATTCTGTGCTCAGGAGCAATGGTTGGAGGGTGCAGTTGCTGTGACCGTTAGTCAGGCTGGTAGATGTGAAGATACTCTTGGATGCTAAGGACTAGTTGTATGCTCACTGGGTACTTGTCTTTGGCTTGTGACAGGGCTGGCTCACTCTGCTGTGGTTTTAATGTGGACTGTCCTGCATCTACTCACATTTAAACACTGTTTGTGTTTCCTCCTGCACTCTGTAGGGGTTGTTTGTTGTTGCTGTTGGAACAAAATACTGGCCGAATGCAGTGGGGTGGGGAACTTTCTTAGTTTGCAGTTGGAAGGTGCATCTTGGTGGGGAGTCATGCGGCAGAATCTTGAGGAAGCAGGTCATGCTGCGTCCTTACTGAAGGAGCAGAAAAGGACTGTAGCTGCTGCTTGGCCGCAGGACTCCAGGCTCTGGGACGGTCGGCCTGCAACCCGGTCAACTTAACCTGAGGCACTAGCTCAGGCCTACCATGAACTTGCTTCTTTCTTTTCATGTTTTAAATATACAGTCTGTGAATCGTGTGGGGTGTGTCTTTTGGGTTCTTCTCTTCGAATACCGCCCCCCACCCCCACCCCCCACTCCCATCCCACCATCCCTCAGCCCCTTCCCCCACACTGTGGTTTGCATTTCTAGAAACTTAACACTTAAAAAAAATTTGTGTGTGGCGTTGTGCCTTCGTGTATGTGTGTACCATGTGCACGTGTGGTGCTCATAGAGACCAGAAGGGGGCATCAGATCCCTTGGAACCAGAGTTAGACAGTTGTGGCCAGCTCTGTGTGACAGGAGCTAAACCTTGGTCATCTTGACTCAGTGACTGCGGACAATTTGTATACCTGCTTTTTCTCTGTTTATAAAAGCATTTCTTTTGTTTGTTTTTTCGAGACAGGGATTCTCTGTAGCTTTGGAGCCTGTCCTGGAACTAGCTCTTGTAGACCAAGCTGGCCTCGAACTCACAGAGATCCTCCTGCCTCTGCCTCCCAAGTGCTGGAATTAAAGGCGTGCGCTCAGCTTTTTGAAAGCTTTTCTTTCTGAACATATTTGAAAGTGTGTGGTGCAGGGATCACAACCCTAAAATTGCCAAAGAACCTTGTTTGCTCTAAGAGCATCTGTTTGATAACAGCCTAGCCTGCAGTTAGGAGGATGCAGTGGGCTGATGAAGGTTCTTACTAACGCCAGTTTCTGTTAGGAGGATGCAGTGGGCTGATGAAGGTTCTTACTAACGCCAGTTTCTGTTAGGAGGATGCAGTGGGCTGATGAAGGTTCTTACTAACGCCAGTTTCTGTTAGGAGAATGCAGTGGGCTGATGAAGGTTCTTACTAACGCCAGTTTCTGTTAGGAGGATGCAGTGGGTTGATGAAGGTTCTTACTAACGCCAGTTTCTGTTGGCTGTCCTCATGACGCTGTTGTTTTCTCTCTAGTGACGCCAATGGGATCAGGTAACAACCGACCTCAGGAAATAGAAATTGGAGAATCTGGTTTTGCTTTATTATTTCCTCAAATTGAAGGGATAAAAATTCGGCCCTTTCATTTTATTAAGGACCCCAAGAATTTAACACTCGAACGACATCAGCTTGCTGAAGTGGGTAAGTTGTTATTTACTGTTTTTACTTACTTACTTGGTTTTTTGAGATAGGGTCTCACTACATATTTCTGGTTGGCCTTGATTTCAGAATCTTCTTGCCTTTGCCTCCTGAGTGCTGAGGTTTCACAGGTACATGGCACATACTCAGCATTGTTATTTATTATTAATTGCCCATTTGTTGATTAACTTCATCTGTTTTAATTCTGGCTAGCTAGTGACTTCTAGGCCACTGTTGACAAGGCTGGTGATTGGTCCAATTCATTTCAAATTGTTTTATTGCCATGAAGTCCTAGATGACCCGAGACGAACACCTTTTATATAAGTATTCTGTTGCTAAGCTTGCGCATGAGTATTTTACTTGCATGTATGTAAGTATATGTACTGTGTGTGTGTGTGTCTGCTGCCCATGGAGAGCAGACGAGGACATAGATTCCCTGGAACTAGAATTATAGACAGTTGTAAGATCCGTGAATGCATGCATGTGTTTAATCGTAGCTGAATTTTGAATCTTGATCTTCAGTAGACTTTTAGCAATAATTTTGCCTTATTTTTGTTATTTAAAACAGAAAAACCTAACATTTAAAAATATCCCTAGTAACCATTTATTATACAAGTTTTTAGAAGAAAAAGGTTGGCGCTGGAAGAGAAGGCACGGGACTTGAAGTGTGAGGAAATACACAGTCAGGATTGCTCCCAAGTTTGAGAAAACAAGTGTGGACGGATTGAAGTAGGTCTAGTGTCAGACTTTGATGGGGAAACTTACTCGATACATAGGCAGCTGGCTACTCCAGCAACGCAGTGTGAAGGCTTTTCATCGTCTCCCTCCGTGATGTATTAGCACGCAGACATGTCACGTAATAATCAATTCCCTGCCTGTCAGGTTTCCTTGTTGCTGATATGCAAATCAGCTGTTGAGTCCTTGAACTTTTATAGGTTCGTTTCACTTTACAGACAAGGAAATAGGTTTGGAAAAGTTAAGCTTGTCCCAACTTAAAGACCAGCAATAGAAAAATGGGAAAGTTTGGGTTTGTGGCTCAAAGGACGGAATATACATACTGAGAACGGCTTTTACACCGTCTGTAAACAGGAGAGTTAGAGTGGCTGTGGAAGGGATGGAGCCGAGCAGTAAGGTGTGGGCAGCCAATGCTCGAAGCCCTGCATGTGGGCTCCGTAGAAGGCTGGACAGGTGCAGGCACTCTGTCCCCATAGTGGGACTATTTAGAAAACAGGCTTGAGCTTCAGGATGGCTTCCAGGATGGTTGAGACTACTTCCCCTTTTTCCATGTGCATGCATGTTGCAGTGCATTTGTGTGGAGACCAGAGGTTGGTGTCAGTGTCTCTTGACACTGACTTCTCTTGAATAGCCATGCCATTGGCCCAAGTGATCACGTCCTGGAAGTGACACCCATTTCTAAACTAGACTTGAATGTTGTTCCACAGACTTCTTCCTACTCAGAAAAATATGTTCCACAAAAGAAAAGAGTCTCGATGTGCCCGACTCATCTGTATGAGGGAGGACCCTTCAGAACTGTGCAAACCTGAGGTTTACTATGTGGAGAGTTAGAACTGACCCAGGGGCAGAGTCTAAAGTTTTATTTGTCCGTAATTGATTGTCTTGTCAGCAGCTCCATGCTGTGACCTAAAGGTAAAGTTTCCTAGATTTCAGCACAAAAAAGAATTCCAGGATGTGCTAGTGTAAAGCATAGTTAGTTTATTAAAGAAGGTTTTTAATATAAATTTCAGCATGGGGGTTGAGAGATATTCAGGGAGAGTGGATGTGGGCTACTCAGAAAAAAGGTCACATGTCATTGTCTTTACAAAAACTGTCACTAAAGGATTGCTGAGAAGTTAAGCTGGGATGCAGGACAGGCATTTGATAAGACAGAACTCTAGGTCACCAGCATGGAGTTAGATGCTAATGTGCTGGGAGTCTTGATTCTTAATTGTTCAAGCCTGAGCATTGTGGTCGGCGGGGCTCCTTTCCCTTTCTTTCTAGCCTGCTTCAGTCTTGCTAAGGGACCCTTCCTTTTATCACCATGGAAGGCATGTGGCTGAGTTAAATGGAAGCATCTGTGTAGTTAGGGGCTGCATTTTCTTCCTGTCCCAGAAGCCACCTGTTGTAATACTGTTCGGTTTCAAATGGCTGCTGTGAAAACAGGCTGCCGGAGACTCGGGTGGAAGCGTGGCGCTCTGGGAATGAGACACTACTGGTCCCTTGAGCCTTGCTGCCTGCTAGTGGTAGAGCTGCTTTTAGACCACGTTATAAACTCTAGGTCATTGGCCCTTGTGGACTTGGAATGTGGAACAACCCAACATGGTCCGCTAGGCTGCTGTTCTGTCTATAACTGTCCTTGCTTGTGTGAGGCGTTGACTGGATTATATTCAAATACCGCTTAGGTTTTTATTAATGGAAAGCCAGGAACTTCAGTGCTGCGCAGCACCTCTGGTGCCAGTCAGTCAGCAGGAATAACAGCTCGTTGTGGTTTAAGGCTGTCTTATCTCTAACTCCTCTGCAGGTCTTCTGGATAACCCTGAGCTTCGCGTGGTCCTTGTCTTTGGCTATAACTGCTGTAAGGTGGGAGCCAATAATTACCTGCAGCGAGTGGTCAGCACTTTCAGCAATATGAACATCATCCTGGCTGGAGGCCAGGTGGACAACTTGTCTTCACTGACTTCTGAGAAGTAAGCCTGTGCACTTTGCTTTTCTCCCAGGGTGAATGGAAACGGCTTCAGGTTCTTGCAACAAATTCGAGGAATCAGTGTGGTATTGTATGCCAGTACTATGAGGCAGGAGAATTTCTTGAATTCAGTACCAGCTTGGTCTACACTGATGACTGCCAGGCCAGACAAGGCTACAAAGTGACAGCCTGTCTCAAAAAATAGAAAAGGAATTGCTAATGTACCAATTCATTCAATTTTGCTGTTGCCAAGAGGCTCACTGAACACAACTCTGCTTGCAGTCAAAAAAACTAAACTTGTATTTATTGTCCTTTAAGAACATCAGCATTAGGCTCCTTCAGCACCGCCTGTTGATAAATTTTACAGCACTGGTCCTCCTTGTGATGTTGCTCCTGCAAACAGAGAAGTCACTAATGAGGCTAAAATAAATGCATAAGGCTTATTTCAGTATAGAGTTGAGTTGCTAACTGGGAGATAGAGTGATGGAGGAAGGTCATTGGTTAAGTAATAAAGAAACTGCTTGGCCTCATAGGTTAAAACATAGGTGGGAGGAATAAACAGAACAGAATGCTGGGAGGAAGAGGAAGTGAGCTCAGAGACACCATGCTCCCCTCTCGCGGGCAGATGCGATGAAGCTCCAACCCAGGATGGACGTAGGCTAGAATCTTCCCGGTAAGCGCACCTAGCGGTGCTACACAGATGGTTAGAAATGGGCTAAATTAATATGTGAGAATTAGCCGAGAAGAGGCTAGATATAATGGGCCAAGCAGTACTTAAGTGAATACAATTTGTGTGTTGTTGTTTCGGGGCATAAGCTAGCCAGGCGGCTGGGGTGCTGGGGACGCAGCTCCATCGCTCCTATTACTACAATAGAGGTTTCATAGAAATAAGGAAGACTAGGTTTTTAAAGGAAAAGAACTAAGGTGAGGTTGAAGCAGCTTGTTTATGCCCTTGTGTGGAGTTTTGAGTGAGCTGAGAATGGACTGCCGCTAGGGTCTGTGCGTACACTAAGCTGAAGGTCACTTTGAGTCAAATCCTGGGGTTGGAAACTTGCAGCGGGACTTTGCAATCTCATCTCTGAATACTTTGAAACAAACTTCTACTCTCAAAGATGCTCTCTGTGGGTCTCAAATTCTCTCTTGATCAGATTGTAGCCATTTAAAGTGTTTCCTTGAGAAGGAGGTACATGGGTCAAGTGTTTCTGACAAAACTCGTCAGGCTCTAACACTCAGGGTGGGGTGGCATCTCCCTGCTCTTCTCCAGGGAACAGCAGTGGTATCTTACTGGTGTTCCTTGGCCTTCAGTTTTGGGACCTATATACTAGATTTTATTTATTTTGTGTGTGTGTGTGTATATGCACCACTGATGCTTGGTGCCTCCGTATCTTAGTTTCTTGCTAACCTGGAGATCTCATGCATTCTGTAGATTCAGTTGTTGATAAATGTAATGGGTACTTAAGGTGTCTGTTTCCTCCCAGCGGGTGTTCACTGTGTGCTTTATAGCTTTACTAAGCATAAAATGTTTGATTGAAATAAGTCTTTACAGGGCTGATGAGGCACTCGCCACCAGGGCTGAGAATGTAAGTGCAATCCTTGGGACCCACATGGTGGAAAGAGGAAGGACTCCTTTGCTCTCCGTCCATATGCCATGCTGTATGCATGCTCACCAGACTTGCACACAAAATCAGTGTCATAGGAAAAGGGCAGGAAAGATATGTGTGTGTCTGTTACATGAGTGAAGGTGCCCTCAAGGACCAGAGGTATTAGGTTATGAATCCCTGTTGTGGGGTGCTGAGAATCAGACTGGGATCTCTGTATAAGCAGAACACACTCCTAACTTCTGAGCCACCTCTCCATCCCTCCCCCCAGTTGTGAAATTTTAAAATTCAAACTCAGGCTCAAAACAATAAGACAGGAAGCATTGAAATCATAGTTCTTTAAAGGCTAGTTAACACAAAGCTAAAACCTGCAGAGTTGAAAATCATCCACCATGATTATATATATTTTTGTTTGGTTTCTTGAGAAACAGCCGTGGTCATCCTGTAACTCACTTTATAGACCAGGCTGAGCTCGAACTCAGAGATCCACCTGAGTGCATCTTTTTCATAATTTATCAGTGGATGATGGGGTGCGATGCCATAATGTCAGTCATACTCCATGGGATAGGACTGTCAGTTCGTGTCAGAGTGCTTGTCAGCACCTCCACCACAGACCCGGTGCAGATCTGTCTGGGACGAGAAGTCTCGGAGTAGAGCATAAGCTGCAAAGGCAGCAGAGCTCCCTTCTTAGTTAATGATTTTCTGTTTCTAGGAAGCCTCTGGATATTGATGCCACAGGTGTGGTTGGACTGTCGTTTAGTGGACAGCGAATCCAGAGCGCCACGGTTCTCCTCAGTGAGGATGTGACTGATGACAAGACGGCTGAGGCAGCCATGCAGCGTCTCAAAGCCGCCAACATCCCCGAAGAGAACACCATCGGCTTCATGTTCGCTTGCGTGGGCCGGGGCTTTCAGTACTACAGAGCCAAGGGGAACGTGGAAGCCGACGCCTTTAGGAAGTTTTTTCCCAGCGTCCCCTTATTCGGTTTCTTCGGAAATGGGGAGATTGGATGTGACCGGATAGTCACCGGGAACTTCATACTGAGGAGGTGTAATGAGGTAAAGGAAGAGGACCTGTTCCATAGCTACACGACCATCATGGCGCTCATTCACCTGGGGGCCTCTAAATAGGATGTCTTGTGGAGACTGGCTCTCACAGGATGTAACTTTGGGGGGTTGCCTTTTTCAGAAAAATGGAAACTTGGGATATAAGTATTTTAAAACCAAACTAGCTCCTTGTGCTTTGAAGCTTTGGTGCTCTGAGATCATGTTGAGTGAGTTTTAATACATAGATGAAGGACAGCTTTGTTCACAGATCAGAAAGTGGGAGGAGGCCACCAGGAGGATCAGTAACCTGTAGTTACTGATGAACATGTAGCAGAATCATGACTTTATTTTCCCTTAAAGGCGAAAATTAAAGAGATGGTGGAGTCTTTTTTCCTGCTTTTCAGTTTTCTCAGGAGCTGTAACAAATTTACTGACTTTTTACTTTTCTGATGAAGAACTACCTTTGTTTTCGTACTATATAAAGTTGTTCTCGTAGGTAAGTTAGCATTTTCCTCTTCACGGTAAAGAGACTGTAAGGGAACAATCTTTTTCACATAGTCCTGAAAATTATATCACCATATTTTGGTTTTATACCAATAAAATACACTTGAAAACCCACCAACTAGTATATTCGCTGCTTTTGATGAGACATGACGGTTGTCAGCTATTCCGCTGAGAGCCTGGAGTGGAGAGAGAAGTGAGGAAACGCTGGTTTCCCCTGAGCATTGGCACTTACAGAGCACGTGATGGGACTGTGTCCTTAATAGCGCATGACCTTGGATTGTCCCTTTCTCCTTACTGCTTGGAATATGGGTAGGTCATGAGTCACCTTGGACACTACAGAGAAGTCAGTACTCCATTGCAGCGAGGACCACAGGGATCCTGGGTGTCTTCTCCTGTATTCCCGTAATGGACTTGTGCTGCCTGTTCCTAGACTTGTACAGGGTGGACGTTAACATGGATTGCACCAGGTCGTTGTTGGAGGATATGCTTACAAGGTGACATTTCTGTACTGGTCAGTGGTTTCTACTAAAAGGACACTAGATAATTGGTAGGGAAAATCAAATACAAGTATTAAAAGAAATAATTGCAGTTTGTCAAAAAACAAACATGCCTAGAAGTGGCAACTGCTGCAGATATATATAAAGCTGCAAAAGTAATCAGATTTAACCAACGCCGAATGAGCACGGCAGTGAAGGTGTGTCCACATACTGAGCTGCCTCTCAGTAGAGACTCAGGAGATCGCCAGCAGCAAGGCTTTGAAATCACCGACTTCTCTACACCGCCAAGTGAAAATGCAGTGGGGACTCTAGTTTGTTCAGGAGGGCTGCCTCCAGGAATACATTTCCATCCCTTTGGTCCAAGAGAAAGGGAGTGGAACCTTAGCATGGAGTGCAGAAACGGTTCAGCAGGCAGAATGCTCCTGTGAAGGGTATGAGGGGCGTGTCCAGTAGGAGTCTTCTTACCTTAGTTTTCCCAGTTTTGTTTAAAATTGATTTACGAGGCCAGTAGCAAAAGACAAGTGGTTTGTGCTGCAAATCTAACAAAATGAACATGCAAAGAATTTCAGTAAAAATAAACTTAGAAATCGGAGTGCTTTCTAGACACTTGAAATTTTTCAATAGAAAAAAAATGCTTTTTTTCATTTTATAACCACAAAGTCTGGCTCAAATTAACCTCACTGTAATTTCAGTTTCGATGGAAGCAGAAGACTCCCAAACCCATGAAAATAAAGGTAATTTCCCTTATTTTCAGTTGTAAGCTGGGTATGAATTGGGTTGATGTTGGGTTGGAAATGTGAATGAAACCTAGTAGGCTCTATAGTAAGAGCCTGTGTTTAACAGGCAGAGCGACATTGTTACTGTGTACAGTTACCAAAGTTAATATCGGCTCCTTTTAGGGGCGAGCAGTGACGTGCGCCAGATGTGGTTTTGTTATGGATAGTTCACTTCTTTCCTGTGCCACATCTAGAGATAAGTTTCTAAAACATTGTGCCAGTATGAAGTAAAAAATTCCTGGCAGAAATCAAGAAAGTTATAGGGCAGGTGTTTTGGAGATAAGAGTGTTGCATTTAAGGCAAATTTTTGTCCTATTTTTTGTTCAGGTCAGTAGCAGACAAAAACAGCATGATGGCGTTAGTTTTAATAGAAAATGATTTGGCTGAGAAACAATTTGAGACCACTGTTTTTACATTTTTCTTACTGTCCAAGGTTCAGTCACCCTGTGTTTACTCAGTAAACACCTCATCCACAGTCTCCCCAAATCAGAGCTACAGACCGCAGTGAAGCACCCTGGCCAAGACAATCCATCTTCAAAGTGGTTGCTAGGTTCTGTGATGTTTTCAGCTCCTTTCTCCCTTGTGACAAAGATTCTTAAAACCATAGAAGCCCAGTTCTCATTCATGAACTGGATGAAGTGGAAGAGACCCTCCCCCCATCTGTAGAGTTGTGTACAGCTGTAGCCCTCTAGATAGTATTAGAGGTGCTAGGTTGGTTGGATTCTTTTGATTTTTGTCTCACTTGGGAGTTGGTGGGCACTGCTTGTAAAAGCTGCAAGGATCCACAAATGCCAGCCAGAGTCAAGAGAAATGGGTGGAGATGCAGAATTGACCATTTGAGGAGAAACATTAGGACATTCGAAAGCCACCACACAAACACCCAGAGAAGCCACTGTTCTAACACCCTGACCTTTCTACTGTGCCTGCCCCCTAAGCTCAGGGACCAACTGCCTGTCAAAGGATTTCCCAGCCAGTTTTGGGGAAACTGGCATAAAGAGAGAATGCTGTATAAATAGTTGAATACAAGGTGTGTGTGTTGGGGGGGGGTTGTCAAATGACAAACCTGTAGAAGGTTTGGAGAGTAAACAAGTGGGTGATAATCTTTTGTTAAAAGACAAACCAGCAAACCTAGAGATAGAGAGGGGGCAGAGGTGGGATAGGGTGGGGGATGATATTATTAAAATAATGGCATACCCAAAATGAAAAGTAACAGATCTCAGAGGAACAGAGAAATGAGGTCTATTCAAAGAATCAAATGCCAGCCAAGTTGCTCAGCTGAGTTTGATGTCCACGACACACGTGATGGAAGAAGAGAGCTGTCCTTTGACCTCCACACATATGCTGTGGCATGCATTTGAGAATTTGAACACATAATTGAAAAGGAAGATAAGCTGGTACTTTCTCTAGTGAAAGTCCAACGTGAAACCTAGAGACCTCATTCAATGTGCTCACAGCAACTACAGAAGATGAGAAGGGACAGAATCAGTGTCTACAAAGAGGAAGTTAGGAAAAGCCCCCACATCTCCTAAAAAAACCAAATGACCTCACCAGAGACTTTCAGAGGCCACTGGAACTGGAAGAGTATAAACAGGTGAACCCAGTGTGAAGGATTTGTGTGATAGATACAGACCACTGCCCAATCAGCACTGCTGTCTTCAAGAAAAACTAGGAAAGCCATTTGGTAAAAATCATTCTTTTGTGATTAAAAATAAAACCAACTAGGAGTACAGGGAAACTATGTCAACAAAAAGGCCACCATGAGAACATACGGTGAACTTCCTGTCTGGTGGAAGGATGCTTGCCTGCACCATTGCTAGTCAACATGGACTGGCTGGAGCGGCTGGTGTCAAATGGGACAAAAATAAAATTACCTGTTCACAAATCTTATGATCTTACATACAGAAAACTAAAGATTTCACAGGAGACTTTCAGAATCAGTAAAGTACTCATAGAAGCAGGGCACAAGGTCAACACAGGAAACCAGCATCATTTCTGTACTTCAGCAGTGAACAAACATTAGAGCAGTTCTTTCTACAGCAGCATCAAAAACAGTAAAATACTGGGAGGTTAACCAGAGGTGGGAACTGCCACAGAAATGATGGAGCACATCCATGTTGATGGGCTGGGAATCTACAGGGATTCCCAAGGCAATCTACAGGGTCAGTGTAATCCCTAGCAAAACATGACCTTGTAGTACTGGTTTGGTTTGTTCAGACAGAAAATACACCTTAAGGTTCAAGTACAATCTCAAGGGACAAGGAGTGGCCAAATCTTGAATATTAAAGTAGGGTGAGTCATCTGATTCCAGAACAGTGATTCTGGCTTCAAGATAAACTAATGGGACAGAAACGCTTAGGGAAGGGACCAAGATTTTTCAATAAGGAAGATACAATTTTCCAGAAAACAGTGCTAGAATTAGGAACTTAAATAATGTCATATATTAAAATTAACTCAAAATAGGTTTTAAAAACAATAGTAGGTTAAAAAAAACTGTCCAACTCTTGGAAGAAAACGGTGGAAAACATCAGGATAATGGATTTTACAGAGATTTTGTGGAGTTGTTACCAGATTTTCAGGGATCAAAAATTAGACATAATGGAATTAATCAAAAATTAAAATTTTGTGCATGACATGAAAGTAGATCATACTTAAAGAGCAAAAAAACCATACATAGACTTGGTAGCTATACTTGCAGCCCATGAATAAGGACTTAATATCCAGAATACAGAACTAATGTACAACCACACACGTCTAATTAAAAAGTGGCCTGGGACTTAAACAGGTCTCCATGAAAGATACATAGATGACTAACACACACTGATGCACGGGAGAATGCAGGTTAAACTCCAATGAGACATCACCCCGTTAGGATGGTGACTGTCTTCCTTCTCCCTGTCTCTCTTCCACTCTCTGCCTTCCTACGACACAGCAGGTTGTATTCATAAGTGTGTGTGTGTGTGTATATATATATGAATATATATATATATATTCATATATATATACACACACATATGCACATACACAAAATACATAAAATTCTCAGAAAAAAATGTAAAGCCATCAAATAAGAGAAACAAACTCCAGCCATTAAAATGGAAAATACAGCTGTGAACTCTAAAAGGGAAAGACTCTTAGATGGCGGACGGTGGGGAAGAGGCCAGTCTGAGACTCCTTACCATATGATTGCAGCGCTAGAGTCCGGAAAATACGAAGTGAAGACATCAGTGGTTGTCACAGGTCCACGGGGAGAGGGAGAGTTGAATTTGGGAACAGGAGAGCTGTTTAGGGAAGGAGACTCGGTGACCTGTGATGGTGGACACACAACAGGCATTTGTCAAAAACTGTTTACTAAGGAGCTGAGTGGGAAGAGGTAGGTAGGAACTACACCGCCTGCTCGGATTTCTTGAGCAAGCCTCCACTTACTACGGAGTCATAGCCTGCCCAACCTTCTAGAAGCTGAGAATATTCATGAATCATTTAATACACACTTCACCTAACAAAACCCTGTGGCATCCACGGCTGTCCTGATCATAGATGAATGGAATCGTGAGATAGTGTGCTGCTGATGGCCAGCACCCAATGACGATATCTTACCACATATTTTGAGCTTTGGAAAGATACTCAGTTTCTACAGGATGAGTACCAGCTTCACTAATGTGGCACAGCTGCCAGTGGACCACCATTGAATTAAACTGAGGTGGGGGCTGCCTCTCAATCAAGTCTTCTAAAGTAGTTTAGTTGAACATGTGAGGGTCACTTTCCACTACCTCAACCCCTGACACTCCTGGTTTGTTAAGTGACGATTGGGTGAGGGGAGGCTGTGTGACACACAATTGTTGCCTCCTCCAAAGAAATGAAATTTGCTTTCTGCAAAATATGCACTAAAAAAATTACAGGTCAGGGGGCTGGAGAGATGGCCCAGTGGTTAAGAACACTGCCTGTTCTTAAGTCATGAGTACGATTCCCAGCAATCAAATGGTGGCTCACAGCCATCTGCAATGAGATCTGGTGCCCTCTTCTGGCCTGCAGGCACACACACAGATAAAACACTACACACAATAAATGAAATTACAGGTCAGGTGATGAAAATAGGTCTGGAACTTGGTAAATGTTCTGAATAATTCTATGTCAACTTGACACAGTCATCTGAGAGGCAGGGAACCTCAATTGAGAGAAATGCCTCCCTGAGATTTGGCTATTGAAGCCCTGCAGGGCATTTTCTTAATTAGTGGTTGATGGGAGCATGCCCACCCACTGTGGGTGGAACACCCCAGCTGGTGATCCTGGGTCAGGGCTGGAAGTCTTAGGTTCTATAAGGAAGATGGTGGACAGGCCACGCGGAGCAGGCCAATAAGCAGTGCCCCCCCCCCCCCCCCCCCCCCGGCCTCTGCATCAGCTCCTGCCTCCAGGTTTGAATTCTTGCTTTGACTTTCCTCAGTGGACTGTGGTCCAGGATAAGAAAGTCAAATAAACCCTTTCCTCCCCAAGCTGCTTTTGGTATCGTGTTTGATCAGAGCTATGATAAGGAAAGGAGAACTAAAGTGTTACCTTCTCTCGCCGTGCAGTTTACTTTCTGCCTGTGTAAGGTGACCGCAATAGTGCCCTTCACTGGGTGTGCCTTCAGTGATCTCTGTGACCTGTGGAAAGTAAGATTGTACTTGTGCACCCGGTTTTCTGCATATACATGCCCACCTACCCTCTTATCTGCATGTATAAACCTGCAGCTTCTGCTTGAGGTGAACTTACCTCAGACACCTGCATCCGCAGCAGCTGCCCTACAGCACCTGTGCACAGTGGGTCAGCATCCCCATGCTAGTCTTTCAAGTGCACACTTCTGTCTTCCTGCTGCCTGAAGTTCTAACAAGCTTAATGACTGTTCTAAAATATTCACAATTCCATTAAAGCGTGATCTGAGAAGAAAAAAAAAATATTCACAATTACAAAGGGCTGGGTGAGGGTCCAGCCCAGGGCAAGTCGCTGATAACAAAGACAGCAGCAGATCCCAAACATGGTAGAAACAGCAAACACAAGGATGGGAGAGTCCTGGAGACAAAGCTGCTCTAGTCAGCATTCCCAAGGACCTGCCGCTGAAGACCAAATAAATGCATAGGGGAACTTGGGCTTGGAGGCCGGCAACACACCCAGCCATGCAAGGAGCAGAACTGATCCCGTAATAGTGTCCTGTGATCTCTGCACACCCCCACTCTTACAGAGGAAAGACAGAAAAGCATGGGTTTGGAAGCCAGACACATCTGGGCTTGACCTCTGAGCCTCCATTTTCCTTTGTATAGAACGTACCTCTGAACCAGACTCTCAGAAATGGTCCATCTGAAACAAGCACAGTGACAAGCACACATAGGCACGGGGGCTCGTGATTAAGTCACAGGCTGTAGGGACACGAACCATGGAACACATGCTGGGGACTTGAAGCTGTGGGTTCTCTCACTGAACTAGTAAGGAGGGTTGCCAAGAAGCCTCATCCCAGAATGCCCTGTTCTGGTCCCTGATGGACTGAATCGAGGCTTTGGGAGTGGTGGTTTTCAGCACCAGGGTTGACTATGACCTCTGACCTTTGTAATTTTCACAGCACAGGTCAGAGCTGAGGCTGCTGAGTTTGTCCTGGTGTCTGTAATGGGCTCATCTCAGAGGGCAGCTTTTATCTCAGCCTGAAGACCTCATCTCCTTTGCGGTGCTATGGTCTTAGACACTAACATTGCTTGGCCAGAGAAATGCCTAGTCCGATAAGCTAATTTTGTAAACTAAGCCCAGAACTCATCCTATTTTGGTTTTTGGGTGGTGTTGTGGTCTGGCTGTCTTTTTTTCCTCCATTAAAAAAGACTCATTTGGGGCTAGAAAGATGGTTCAGCAGTTAAGACCACTAGCTGCTCTTCCAGAGGACCCAGGTTCAATTCCCTGCGCCCACATGGCAGCTCACACCTGTCTGTAACTCCAGTTCCTGAGGATCTGATATCCTCACACAGATATACATACAGGCAAAACATCAATGCACATAAAATAAAAATAAATAAATCTTTTAAAAAATACCCACTGTATCCAGGCGCGGAGGCTCACACCTGTAACACCAGCGCTTGGGGAGGTGGAGGCAATGGGATTGTTTCAAGTTTGAGGCACGTCAGAGCCCCACGGTGAGCCCCAGGGCATCCTGAGCTCTGGAGGGCAACAATCTCAGAGAGATATTTTTTTATTTTTTTATTATTTTTAACTAATATGTCAAGAAAAAAGCAATGCAATTTGAATTTAAACTTTTCCCCAGTGTAGGGTGTATTTTATATATAGAAAGGCTGTGAGATTGCTTCCTGTTCTTTTATTATGTGTATGTGGTATGGGATGGTTTCTGTGTTCATGGGGTCAGAGGGCTAGGACCCTCTGGGAGCTGGAGTTACAGGTGATTGTGAGCTGCAGATAGGTGCTGGTGGCTGAACAGTAAGATCAGTATGTGCTCTTAACCAGGACCATCTCGCCACCTCCTCCTCTTATTTTTACAAATGTGTCTTTGCACATAGGAAAGGGATAGTGTGTTTTATCTGTGCACAGTTTGTAAGGGACACATCTTTTTGGCGTCTTGGAACTGATGGTGTTGAGCACATGGGAGCTCAGGGCATTGTCTGGTAACATTATTCACGATGGCGTGTCCTTCATTGTGAAATACGTAAAAAATTTACCATCTTAACTACTGTCAAGTTCAGTGACATTAGGTAAAATCATATAACAGGAATAGTCATCATCTCCAGGAATGTTTTCATTATCCCAAACTGAACCTTACACATTAAACAATAACTCTCTCCACAGTCCCTGGTAACCACAGTTACGATTTCTGCCTCTGTGGGTCTGACTGCTCTAGCATCTCATTTAGTGGAGTTACACAGTGCTTACTTTGGCATCTGGCTTTTTCACTAAGTGTAATGTCCTCAGAATCCAGCCATTAGAATTATTCCCTTTTAAGGCTAAGTAATGCTCCATTTATGTGTTTCTACTTATCAATTCATACATCACTGGACAGATGAGTGGCTTTCCACCTTTTGACTATTAAGAATTCAGCTCCTATGAGTGCAGGTGTAAAGATATTTGCTTATGTGTGTAACCCCCAGTAGTCAACTGTTGGATAAAACAGTGATTCTGGCAGCTGGAGAGATGGCTCAGAGGTTAAGAGCACTGACTGCTCTTTCAGAGGACCTAGGTTCAATTCCCAGCACCCACATGGCAACTCACAATTATCTGTATTTTCAGTTCTAGGGGATCTGACATCCTCACACATATATACAGAGGCAAAACACCAGTGTACATTAAATAAGTAAATAAATCTTTTTAAAAAAGGGTAATTCTGTAGTGGTGGTTTTTGAGACAGGGTTTCTCTGTAGCTTTGGAGCCTGTCCTGGAATTAGCTCTTGTAGACCAGGCTGGCCCCAAACTCACAGAGATCTGCCTGACTTTGTCTCCCAAGTGCTAGGATTAAAGGTGTGCACCACCACCACCTGGCTGTGATTCTGGTTTTAAGACCAGTCATTCCATTTAGCACAGTGACCATAACATTTTATATTCTTACCAGCAATACACAAGGGCTCCAGATTCTATACATCATAGCCAACACATGGTCATTAAACAGCCCCTGCCCTAATGTGGGAGGGGTCCACAATTCCCTTTTTATCTCCCCAGTGGTCAGTGAGGCTGAACACCTCACATGCTCTTGGAGAAATGTCTATTGAAATCCTCTCCCAGTTTTTGAACTGGGTTGCTTTTATTTGTTATGAGTTATTTATTCCGGATTATTTCTTGTAATTAATTTTAAGTTGCTATTAAAACAATAGGTTTCATTATGGCATTTTCATATATGTGTATCATTAATGTTGCTCATATTTGCCCCACTACGACCTTCAATGTCTTGCACCCTGCCCTGTCCCCCTTCCTCCTCTCTGTAGTGGGATTAGTCCCCTGAGCACTGGCAGAGTAACTCCATCTTGCAGTAAGATGCTATTTAAATGTTCTACGTGCCTTCCTAGAGTTGGTCAGTGTTTGTTAAGACCAGCAAACCTCAGCAAAAGAAAAGGCAGCATCCCCATGGACACTAACTTTCCTAGATCTGCTTTATCTGTGACTTGTTGCCTGAGCCACAGTCACCTCTCCTGACTTAACACTAGGTAGCACTCTTGAGCCCAAGTTTGTATCAATTCTGGTGCCAACTAAACCATATGGAATCAGAGCTCAGTGACTGAGGCTTGGGCCTTTGATGTATCTGTGAGTCCTTACGGCCCTATAAGTGACCCCAATGAACTTAATCACGCCAAGCTGAAACTGGCAGAATCTTTCTTGGGTCTCTCTGTGTTTGTTCGAGGTAAATAGATGTTTCTTTACAACTTTTCCAGGAAAGTCCCACACCACTCAAAAAGTTTCCTGTCTGTTTTCATGCACACATATGCACACATGTAATGAATTCTCTTCATTAATCCCACAGCTGCAGGGGTCGAAAGTCTCTTATCCTGTCCTGTGGACTGCCTCTTTGTACACAGTGTCCTTTAATTTCATCAACTTTTAATTTTGATGAAGTCCAAATTATCTAGATTTCCTTAGTTGACTATGTTTAAGTGTTGTTTACAAGAAACCATTGCCAAGTCAAGCTTCGTAGAGTACTTCTCCGAGTTTGCTGGAGTCTTAGAATTTTGGGTCTTCTGTGGAGTCTCGTTCGCCCGGAGTTCATATGGTACTAGTGGTGCAGCTTCGTGTTTTAGTAGATTCACACCCAGCCTGACATGGTTAGTTGAAAATTTGACTTCTACCAAGTTTACTAAGATATAACCCACAACTTACAACTTTACATTCACTTTCATATCCTATTCACTGGCTTGAAAAGATTACAGTCATCTGGCCACAACTATGACCCAGTTTTTAAACAGATCCATCGCCTGGGGGTACTTTCCAGGGCTGTTTGCAGTCATTACCTTAGGAGCCCACTCGCCTATCTTAGTATAAAGGTAAATGCACACGGGGCATCCTGAAGCTTCTACCACACAGCACAGCTGACTGTGACCGTGTGACAGACAGCGTGTGCAAACATGCGGTGCTTGGACAGGTATGACTCTCCATTTTATGGGCACGGCAATGGACATTTGGGTGATTGCCACTCCCTGGTTACAGGGAGGAATGCGGTTGTGAATATTTGGGTTCATATTGCAAACCCAAGCTCTCATTTACTTGGGTAGCTGACGAGGAAGGGAATTGCCATACAAACTTGTTCCTTAAGAAACCGTCTGCACCATTTCATACTTACAACAACAACGAACTGTGCGTCCCCATATCCTACAGACTTTAAAGAAATAAATCACAGCAGCGGTAGTATGTTAACTGGTATTTTGACTTTTCAATCTTTTAATGGATTACAGTGTCAAGTATTTTTCATGTGCTTAGTAGTATTTTGTGTATTTTCTTGGTAAATGCCCACAGTTTAGTTCAGTTGTTTCTGTTACTGAGTTGGTCTCAACTTCAGTTGAACAAGTTCATATTTTGAGATGTGTTACAAATGTTTGTTTTAAAAGTTTCTTTACCTAGACATTTCCGATATATGGAAATATACTTTACTTTTAATATTAATGCTCTATCTTGCAAGATTGATAAAGTACCAGCTGGTCTCATATACTGTACTCCCTTCAGTGTTTCTAGATGAACTTATGTAGAATTGAAAGCTTGGCATAAGTTCAGCTATTTGGGGGTGGACTGTCATTGAAGAAATGTTTCTATACAAATTCAATCAATGGATATGGAACTGTTTGAATTATCATTAAAAACTTAATTTTACATATCACTCTTCAGATTTTTTTTTGAAAACAGAGTGCATGTAGCCTAGGCTAGCCTCATTGTAGCTGAAGATATCCTTGAACTTTTGTTCTTCCTGTCTGTATTTCTTCTTAGGGGCTGTAACTATAGGTCCACATAACCATCCCTGGTTATATGCAGTGCTGAGGACAGAACCAGGGCATCTTGTAGGCTAGGCAGGCACTCGGTGCATGAACTGCATCTGCAGCTCCTTAAATGACCCTTCTTTGGTAGTTTTTATTCTTCAATTTGTCTATTTAAATTATGCCAAATCTTCTATCACCCTGTTGTAGTATTGGTAGGAATGTCACCCAACCTTTATTGTTGTTGATGTTGCTAACTCCTGGCATTTCCCCCCTGAATTAACAGTATTTTTTGGACACAGGGTGTCATCTCAGCCTGGGTCTTACTGATGCATTGAGATTATGTGGCCAGCAAACCCCAGAGCTCTTCCTGTTTCTGATTTTCCCACAGTAGGACTATAGGAGCCTGCCACCAATGCCAGATTCTTTAAAGATTTATTCTAAAGTGTGTGTGTGCGTGCATATTGAGAGCGGAGGTCAGCCGCTGCTTCAGCCTGTCCATTTCTCGTTGTTTTCAAGTAAGAGGAAGGAAATCTAGCACTTGCTGTTTAGCCAGAAACCTCAAGAAAGCTTAAAAACTGGTTTATCCACAGTTCTCCCAAAGATTGGCTCACTCCTAAGGTACCTCCCCGCCACAGCCTCCCCAGCACAGCCCACATCAGAATGCTTCTGCAACCCTGGTCCTCAGATCTGCCGTAGCACATTACAGCGGATACAATCATTTCACGGTGGAAATTCATATAATTTCATAATATTTTGGGGGAAAATACTACTTCTGTCATACTGATAATAAATTTATCCTCATGTGCAAAATAATGATTAACACAAAAGCCATGGAAAAGTTTTTGAACGCTTGTGAACACAAGTCCGTGAACAGAGCAATGAAGATCTCATCCACACCTCTAAACATTCCATACTTCCCGTACTCACTGTGGTGGGCCCCGGTGTTTCTCTCCACCAGGCTGATCTCACACTGGACTGAACTGGCCCTCTGAAAGTGGCCCTTCCTGCATCAAAGAGAAGAGAAAGCCAAATGGGAAAGGGGTGATTGGAAAACACGCCAGAAGAATCAGAAAGAAAATTAAGCTTGAGTATTTGGAAGCTCATTCTCTTTCTAGAACTTCCTAAAATCGTAGGGCTGCCCTAATGTTGTACCCGCATTTAAGCACCCCACCAGCAGAGGCCACAGTGACACTTGGGGTGCTGCTGAGCCTGCGGCATGGGAGCCTACGGTGTGGTCCAGATGCTGCTGGGGAGCTGCTGAGCCTGCGGCGTGGCCCAGATGCTGCTGGGGGTGCTGCGGAGCCTATGGCATGGCAGAGATGCTGCTGGGGAGCTGCTGAGCCTGCGGCGTGGCCCAGATGCTGCTGGGGGTGCTGCGGAGCCTATGGCGTGGCAGAGATGCGATGTCAGAGCTGTTTCTCTAACACCATTGTGGACCCTTTGTGAACCATGGGTGGCTTTAGTGAACAATTCTAATTTGCGACATTAAACACCATCAACTTTGGGTCATCTGACTATAACCTTAGATAAAACTATTAAATAAAAATAAAATGTAAAAGTGGTTTATTTTTTTCAATATGCCAAACCTAATGTAGTAACTTACATTAGTGAAAATGAATTTACATCATATAGCCATAGCAACATGACATTTTCTAAAAGCACACCAACCTCTACCCTAAAATGCCAATTCTAGAAGATGTTTTAGCATTGGGGGTTGGGGGCATCTTGACCTCATTCAAGTGGCATCATTTCCTAAGTTATGGAAAATCCAAAAGGCCCTCAGGTCAAAGCACTTTCAGCTACCAGCGGGTTCAGTCAAAGAATTGTTTGCTTCCATTCTTTTTTCATTTATTAAATATTTTCCCCCTCCCTTTCTTTTCCTCCTTCTCTGCCATCGTGTATGTGTGTGTGTGTATGTGTGTGTGTATGTGTGTATGTGTATATATGTGTATGCATGTGTGTTTGTGTGTATATGCATATGTATGTGTATATGTGTATGTATATTCATATGTATGTGTATATGTGTATATGTGTATATGTGTATGCATATGTATGTGTGTATGTGTATATATATGTGTGCATGTGTATGTATGTGTTTATGTGTATATGAGTGTGTGCATATGTGTATGTATATGCATATGTATGTGTGTATATATGTGTATGTGTATATGTGTGTGTGTGTATGTGTATGTGTATATGTGTGTGTGTATGTGTGTTGTGCATGTTTGCCCATGTGGAGACATGAGAATGTCAGTGTCCTCCCTATCGTTCCCTGCCTAACTCCCTTGAGACAAGGCCTTTTTGGTCTTTTTTTTTCTAAGTTTTTTATTTAACTGATTTTTATTGAGTTCTACATTTTTCTCTGCTCCCCTCCCTGCCTCTCCTCTCCCCTTCAACCCTTCCCCCAAGGTCCCTATGCTCCTAATTTACTCAGGAGATCTTGTCTTTTTCTACTTCACATGTAGATTAGATCTATGTAAGTCTCTCTTAGGGTCCTCATTGTTGTCTAGGTTCTCTGGAATTGTGATTTGTAGGCTGGTTTTCTTTGCTTTATGTTTAAAAAACACTTATGAGTGAGTACATACGATAATTGTCTTTCTGGGTCTGGGTTACCTCATTCAATATGATGTCTTCTAGCTCCACCCATTTGCTTGCAAATTTCAAGATGTCATCATATTTTTCCACTGTGTAGTACTCCATTGTGTAAATATAACACATTTTCCTTATCCATTCTTCGGTTGGGGAGTTTCCAGGTTCTGGCTATGACAAACAATGCTGCTATGAACATAGTTGAGCACATGTCCTTGTGGCACGATTGAGCATCCTTTGGGTATATATCCGAAAGTGGTATTGCTGGGTCTTGAGAAAGGTTGTTTTCTAATTTTCTGAGAAATCAACATACTGATATCCAAAGGGGTTGTACCAGCTTGTGCTCACACCAACAATACAGGAGTGTTCCCTTTACCCCATAACCTCTCAGCATAAGTTGTCATCAGTGTTTTTGATCTTGGCCATTCTTTTTTTTAAGATTTTTTTATGTATACAACATTCTGCCTCTATCTGGCCAGAAGAGGGTGCCAGACCTCATTACAGATGGTTGTGAGCCACCATGTGGTTGCTGGGAATTGAACTCAGGACCTCTGGAAGAGCAGCCAGTGCTCTTAACCACTGAGCCATCTCTCCAGCTGATCTTGGGCATTCTTACAGGTATAAGATGGAATCTCAGATTTGTTTTGATTTGCATTTCTCTGATGACTAAGGATGTTGAGCATTTCCTTAAGTATCTTTCAGTCATTTTATATTCCTCTTTGAGAGTTCTCTGTTTAGGTCTGGACTCCATTTTTTTTTATTGGATTATTTGTTCTTTTGATGACCAGTTTCTTGAGTTCTTTGTATATTTTGGAGATCAGACCAATGTATGATGTGGTGTTAGTGAAGATCTTTTCCCATTCTGTAGGCTGTCATTTTGTCTTGTTGACCGTGTCCTTTTCTTTACAGAAGTTTTTCAGTTTCAGGAGGCCCCATTTATTGTTTCTCTCAGTGTCTGTGCTACGGGGGTTATATTTAGGAAATGGTCTTCTGTGCCAATGCGTTCAAGTGTACTTCCCACTTTTTCTTTGAGGTTCAGTGTAGCTGGCTTTATGTTGAGGTCTTTGATCCATTTGGACTTGAGTTTTGTGCATGGTGATAGATATGGATCTATTTTCATTCTTCTACATGTTGATATCCAGTTATGCCAGCACCATTTGTTAAATATGCTTTCTTTTTTCCATTTGATATGTTTGTGCTTCTTTGTCAAAAATCAGGTGTTTGAAGGTGTGTGGGTTAATATCCGGGTCTTCGATTTGGTCCTCCTGTCTATTTTTATGCTAATACCAAGCTGTTTTCAATACTGTAGCTCTAGCTCTGTAGTAGAGTTTGAAGTCAGGGATGTGATGCCTCCAGAAGTTCTTTTATTGTACAGGATTGTTTTGGCTATCCTGGTTTTCTTGCTTTTCCATATGAAGTTGAGTACCATTCTTTCGAGGTCTGTGAAACTTTTTCATGGCTTTTGATGGGTATTGCATTGAATCTGTAGATTGCTTTTGGTAAGCCTGCCATTTTAAAAAATATTTATTTATTATATATACAATATTCTGTCTGTGTGTATGCCTGAAGGCCAGAAGAGGGCACCAGACCCCATTATAGATGGTTGTGAGCGACCATGTGGTTGCTGGGAATTGAACTCAGGACCTTTGGAAGAGCAGGCAATGCTCTTAACCTTTGAGCCATCTCTCCAGCCCCAAGATTGCCATTTTTACTATGTTAATTCTACCTACACAAGAGCATGGGAGATCTTTCCACTTTCTGGTGTCTTCTTCAATTTCTTTCTTCAAAGATTTAAAGTTCTTGTCATACAAGTCTTCCACTTGTTTGGTTAGAGTTACTCTGAGATATTTTATGCTATTTGTGGCTATTGTGAAGGGTGATGTTTCTCTGATTTCTTTTTCGGCCCATTTATCATCTATGTACAGGAGGGCTACTGATTGTTTTGAGTTAATCTTGTACCCTGTTACATTACTGAAAGTGTTTATGAGTTGGTAAAGCATGGTATAGGATACTTCAGATTAGAATTTTCTTCTTTTTGTGCCAGGGTCTCACTTTATAAACTATAGACTATAGACTATGTATAGCACAACCATATCCAATCCATGCACTAACCCATAATGATTACATATGAGGAATAAGAAAGCTTTGATTTTTAAGCCATTAAACTGTAAGGTTGCATCAATCTTTTTCTGTTGCTATACAAATACCCTTGACTGGGTAATTTACAAAGAACAGATGTTCATTTAACTCATGGTTCCAGACACTGAGGTGTCTAAGACCACGGCGTTGACAACTGTTCATCAGGTAAGAACTATCTAACTGGGTCATGGTATGACACAGGGTATCACATTGTGAGACCGAGCAGCAAGTCAGAAAAATTAGGATTAGATAAGCTTATCTTTTGGCATATTTTGCTGGAAAACATAATAGAGGGATTCAGAGTGAAGGGTACAGTCCCATGATGACTCATGTCTACTTTGTAACATGCTACTCTAAACGCACTAGATTAAAATTTTCTCTCTCGTGGTTCTATTGGTTGACTGCTAAGCTCTTTCCCCCTATTAGAGCCTCTCTGTGTTTGCAGGCAACCAGTAGATAACATGAGCCACCAGAAAGTTCCAGTAAGCAGGATGCTTAGGGAGGCTCATTCAGAGATGACTAGCAATTGCTGCTGACTGAGAATCGAGCTGGAGCTCTTTCTTTTCTCTGCTTAGGTTTCTTACAAGACACTGACTGATTCAAAGATGGAGCTTTTGGTCCACTCAAAGGCTGTGTGATCAGCTGTAACATTTACCCAATGTTCATGACTAAAGCACTTGTTGTACCTTCTAAAGAAATAAATTCTATTTCTTATCGCCATTCAATGGCTTGGACCCAGAACGCTATGACTGCCGGACAAGCACACCATGTCTGAACTGCAGAGCCCTAGGACCAAATTCTAACTCTTGCTGGTTGAGTGGCAAGGTCACACTGAGGAAGGGCGCTTGTAAATGGCCGATCACACAGGAAACGCAATCCGATGCAATGGGCTGGTAAGTTTTGTACCTGAAACACTCCAGATGCAAAAATTATGGGTTTCTTAAATGATACTTTGGAATAAAGCACACCATAATGTACATGACATAATACACATTTAAAAAGAGCAAAGTCCCTCACAATTTTAATAAGGGTTTATGAGATTATTTAATCTACACATTATTCTTAGAATATTAACTTCTCAAGACAACTTGGATTGTTTTACAATGACCATAAGCTCCATTTTCATAACCAGATGAGAGTAACCCATGCATATTTAATACTTATTAATCAATACAAAATAACTACTAAACTTAATTTCATGCTCGCTTTTAAAAATAAATTTCAAAAAACATTGAAGAGCAATAAAAAGGAATCAATGCAAGTAATCTTTGATGTGTGTAGCCTTGAAACATGTCATTTTTCCCTTTTGTTTCTCTTAGAAGATGCCAGTTTCTCCAATTTAACCTTCTGCTTCTTTATCTGTCGCTCTAGATTTAAATAGCTCATGAGTTTAGGCAACATGTCTACCTTCTTGGCCACTATGATCATTGTGTCTGGCACATAACAAATGTTAGAGAAAAGACTGACAACACACATCAGCCATGTGCTTTAAGCTTCTAAAGCACTGTGTGAGTCACGTAGCCTTTAGTACTCTAGACTTCTTTAAAAACACCTCCCCTAAAGCCTTGTGTGACGACATAAGTATAATTACTGTAGGGAGGGTGGGTTCTCCTGGCTTAGAGACATCACAGAAAGAGATGATGTCGGTGGCAAGGAATGAGTTGACTTGCTTAAGATGTTTTTAAAATGATTTATGATTTATAACAAAATTGTATTCAAATGATAACGGCGGGCATAAAACAGTATCTAGAGAAACGTCTGGAAGTAAAGAGCATGCGCGTTACTCAGAGACCGCGGCCTTGTGTCTCCACTTCAGTTACCTGCACAGAAGGCAGAGCGCTGCAATGGCTAGCGTGAGCAGGATCGCCAGGGCCACGATTGCTGCCGACAGGTTACTTCTGCTTTGGATGCTGGCGCTTGGGAGAAAAACCTCTTCGCAACGAGCTCCTGTGTAATTCTCAATGCACCTGTAGGATAGAAGTTCAGATAAAGATCAAATCTGTTCCCTCTGTGTCTGTGGACAACACAAGGTCCCCAGCTGGAATGAAGGGAAAGGCCTCTACGTTTCAGTCTGTGAATATGGAGCAAAAAGGCTTGAAGTGACGCTCAAAGAGCCACGGGGAGAGACAAGTGCATTATCCTACACCTGCCTCCGTCTCTTTCCAGCTCTTCAGCAGCTTAGAATTGAGAGGAACTGGGTAGTATTCAGACTCCATGTGCAGACAGTGTCGATGCCTTCTAGGCTTGTCTTGTCTTCCTGCCAACTTTTTTTTTAATATTTAAATCATTTATTGCCATTAAGTTACAGATCTGAACCTGCACACTATGGAAAACACTTGTCACCACTGGAAAGCATGGGTAGACGTGTGGCCGACTGAGGGATACACTGTAGTCATTAAAGAAAAGTCAAGAATGTAAGTGCTTATAGTTATAAAACTTTGTTCCTTAGATTTTTATTACACAAATCCCAATAGATAATATACACATTACTACAGATAAAACCATCATTCAAAATTATGAAATTAGTTGCATATTTTGAACTACTCTTGATGAAGACAAATTTCAGCATTGATAAGGCAGGAGAGAGTTGGTTTGGGGACTCTCCCTTTTCTATAATGTTGGCATGGTAATTAAAGACGGTATTCCGTGTTCTTCTCAGCAAGACCATCGATGCCGATGCGACCTGTGGCCATCGTGGCAGCAGTGCTGGGGCTCTGTCCCTTTCCAGAGCCGATCCTCGCACTGCTACGCAGTTGCCTTCTTACTCATCTCGTAGTTGATGAGCCGTGCTCCCTGAATCAGCTGGGCCACCTCGTTTGTTACATGGCACGCAAACAGAAGCCAGTTTCGAGGCTGCAACTTGTAGGCAAATCTCATGAATGTCAAAGAATAGCAGCAGAGGGCGAAGGTCATGCGCCCACTGATGATCTCCGGAGACTTCTTCATGTCATTGATAGCAGCAATGGGGAGACCCCAATTGGCAACTGGGCCCCAAAAGTGCGTACTCATGAGATAGTCCCGGAAGTCCTTGCTCTGCACATAATCCGCCGCTTTGCGCACCAGCGTTCCAGCCATGGCCCTGCGGTCGGCGGTGAAGCCGCTATCCACACGGATCTTCCTGCCAACTTTTGCAGATGTGTCTTGCGATACTGTTCTAGTTGTCCTCAACCCCCTGACTCAAATGATCCTCCTGCCTCAGCTTTCCAAGTAGCTGAGACTGCAGGTGCATGCCACCAGGGCTTAAAGTCTGCATTTTCAATGGTGTAACTGTCAGTATATAACTCAAATTCACCTGCAATTTATTGTATTTTACATAGATGTGTAAATGAATGCAACTTTTCCTCAAAATTTTTGTTTCTTCCAAACTCAGTTGTTGAGTACGACATCCCTTCCCTACTGCTCAGCAGTGCCTTGTGGAACACACGTCAGCTTTTTATGACTAAGAGCATTTCTATCTTTCTTCAGAGACAGCACGAAACAGCAAAGGATACCACAAGGCCTCTGGTATAAGCAGCCAGCTCCTTTCCCCTCTTAACACGCTCAAGGAATTAATATACATTAATAAGAATTATGCTATTCAGCATCCCATCAATTTATTTCCAGCTGAATGTAAAATAAAAGTATTTTAGCTGGAAATGGTGGCAGGCAACTATAGTCTTAGCACTTGGTAAACTGAGGCAGAAGGATCCACTAAAACTTGAGGCCAGCCTGGGCTACTTGATGAGTTTTAGGCCAGGCAAGGCTGGAGTGTGAAACTCTATCTCAAAAAAAATTTTTTTTCTTTTCAATATGAACATTTATTTATAAAGTAACTCAAGAAGTTATGTAGGAAATTTACAAAGTATATGTAATAAAATGAGTGTGGCCGGGCAGTGGTGGCGCACGCCTTTAATCCCAGCACTCAGGAGGCAGAGGCAGGCGGATTTCTGTGAGTTCGAGGCCAGCCTGGTCTACTAGAGCTAGTTCCAGGACAGGCTCCAAAGCTACAGAGAAACCCTGTTTTGAAAAATCAAAAAAAAAAAAGAGTGTATGTACATACACATACATGCATACACACTTTAAGTTATTCTTTTACCAAAAAAAATGAAAGAGTGATTTTGCAAAATTAATTTTCCTCCTCCCCTTTTTCAGATTAGTCAGGTATTTAGAAATCTATTTTCTCGGCCTCCCACTTACACTGATAAGGACAGGAGGCCTAGAAAACTCCATGTGAACTAATTGGTTTTAACAACCAATGTGACAGGATAACTAATAGCCACATAAAAATAAGAGGGGGGAACAGTAATTTTAGCACATGGAGTGATTTTGGTGACCAAATAGCCGATGTTTTATGAGCCTCATGTCATCCTGATGAAGGCAGGAGGTTGCTGCTGTTGGCTTCGCGGGAAGCTTTAAACAGTGTAGCAGCTCTCTGAAATTATCACAAAGATTGGCTTGTAGAGACACGAAAGGAATGTGAGGGCAATATACAAGCGACAAACTGAAGCATCGAGTAAGAGGTATTTGGGGGAAAGCTCATAATTACTTACAGTACAAACATTAAAATACTATTTTTCCTTGGACTGGAGAGATGGCTCAAGTAGTTAAGAACACTGACTGCTCTTCCAGAGGATGTGGGTTCAATTCCCACTACTCACATGGAGGTTCACAGCCATCTATACCTCTAGTCCTTGAGGACCTAATGCCTTCTTCTGGTCTCTGCACCAGACACGCACACGGTGCAGGCAGGCAGACATGTGAACAACTCACTCATACACATCAGATAAATGAGGAAAATGTGAATGTACTATTATTTTCATAGACTAAATTAAACACACATGAAAGAAAAAAGATAAGTAAAAATTCATTTCATTCTTCTCTAATTTTACTTCCCGCTTCCCAGGACAGACAGACAGACAGATACACATACACGCATTCTTCAGAATACAACATCATAAGCTGTAGTTCATATCCTTGTATGAGGTCACATAACTTAGTGCGTGGGGTTATAAAAATTTGGGCAAAAAATAAAAGAGTTCTGAACAGGCAAAGACCACAACACAATTTGCAGTAAAATTGTTGGTGATTCTGGCAGGGCTCATGTCCTCTCAAGGCAGCTTCATTCCGAACACACACCACACACACTTTACACTGCACATGGAGTTGGCACGCAGCTCCGACAGCTGCTGCCTGTTCCACCTCGGCTCTGATTTAAGATCATTGTATTTTTTTTTAAAGATTTACTTATTTATTATGTATACAACATTCTGCCTCAGTGTATGCCCGCGCGCCAGAGGAGAGCGCCAGATCTCATTACAGATGGTTGTGAGCCACCATGTGGTTGCTGGGAATTGAACTCAGGACCTCTGGAAGAGCAGCCAGTGCTCTTAACCTCTGAGCCATCTCTCCAGCCCCCAAGATCATTGTATGTTATAAACTGTTGCATTTTTATTGTGCATACAAAGGAATTACAGGAAACAAAGGCTTTGATATTTTCCTACTGTTGTTCCGAAGCATGAAAATATCAAAAGAGTATATCTTTGGATAGTACTGTTAGAACATTTGAATTTGAAATTGCCATTTAACTTGCTAACTTTTTTTTTATAAAAGGTAATTAAATGAATTTGGATTGGGATTGAGATAGAATTTCCAGTAATTTTTGAAATGGCCCTAAGCATGCCTCTACCATTCTGTACTACATATCATGGTGAAGAAGTCTCTGCATTGAGGATCAAAGTTTCCATTATTATGAAAAGTGTTGAAGATGCTTCATGGCATTCAGTACCAAATACGCAGCTAAGGTTTAATTCTTTCTGCAAAAATAAGTAAGCACATGCATCTCATTAATATGTAAATTTGCTTTAATCACTAATAAATGGAAAAATTATTTTAGTCAAGAATTGTTTTAAAATACAAATTCTTGGCATGCAGTATAATTTTATATACTTATCTACATAGGGTCAGGGAGAAATGTCTTAGGAGAAAAGGGGTAGTGGGGGGTGGGAGAGCTGATTACTAATCAACTGCCTACCCTAGAGAGTAACCCAATGGGCCCATGACATCCAACACACACAGTACGAAACAAACTCAGGAAGAGGTGGGTTTCCACGAGATAAAACTCTGCTGTAAATTTCAGTTCCAAAAGTTGCGCTAGAGGCATGAGAATGCAATAAAAACTCCCCCATGATTTCCTTAAAATTATTTTCTATTTAAATAGAATTCGGTTAACATGTATGCCTTACAGAAGATTTTAAAAAGAAAGAGAATTTAGCCACTGAGGGAAAGTCCTGGACCGTCTGGAATGAAATGTGCAGAAGTTCGGCCATCAGATCAAGGACTGGAGCAGACTGGAAAAGGTATGGCAGAGAGAGAAGCAATCGATGGAGTTCCCTACCATCCACATCTGGCAAGAAAGTAAAACACTGATGGAAATTTTAAGCAAAATAATGTCAAGAAAAAACCCAAACCTTGTCATTCTTCACCTCATTAAAAGAGAACTCTGAGAAAGGCAGAGACACAGTGTGCTGCTGGGTTAGCCTACTGGTGAATTTTATTTTCCAGATATTTATTATATAAACAGGGAACACTGCGTGCCCAGTGCTGTGCGCAAGAAGTCTGTTCTGAAAGCTCCAGCTAACTTAGGAAGATGTTATGGCCTCGGCTGTAACACAAATGTTAGACTTAAAGCAAACGTAAGTTGGGGAGAGCAGAGGGCAGACAGAGCGGACCGGGACTAGAGCTAGTGGGAGCTGAAGAAAGGCACGGGCAGGTCAAGTGCACAGAGCTAAGCAGCCTCTGTTTTTGTGGAATTAACTCTTGCTAAAGCATTCCTGGGGTTTACTTCTATACAGGCTGCCAAGTACCAAGAGGCTGTGTCATCGAATTTGGTAAACACCATGTGATAAAACACTTTCCTGGAACGGGTGCAAACACCCAGGGACACAGAACCTTCCAGACTCAGAATCCACATTATACAGCATCTTCCAGATGCACCAAGAGCCTCAATGTCAGTAAAGAAGCCGCGTTTAATATGCTGGGCTTGAAAAGAGTTCATCTGATTATAGTGGTCAGGGAAAGTTGTTATGACATTGAAGGCCTTCAGCAAGAGTGAAGGAATCAAACTTCCTTGTGAGACTTAGACAGGAGGACTAGTGCAGGTTCAAGGCCAGCCCGGACATTTGGCGGTGACCCTCTTCAGAAACAAAAACAATCAAGAAGTTGTACTCCTGAGCAGAGCTGCTGTGTTCCAAAGACCAAACACTGGACTTCAGGCTGAAAAAGCTAGTTCCCTGACCCCATCGTGCTTGCTGTGTATGCCACTTATGCTTTATGATTTTTAAAAGTATTGGGGCTGGAGAGATGGCTCAGCAGTTAAGAACACTGACTGCTCTTCCACAAGTCCTGAGTTCAATTCCCAGCAACCACGTGGTGGCTCACAACCATCCAAAATGAGATCTGGTGCCCTCTTCCGGCCTTCAGGCATATGTGCAGGCAGAACATTGAATAGATAAAAGTCTTTAAAAACGTTTAAAAGTATTTATGTATTTTACAGCCTAATCACAGTTTCCTCTCCCTCCTCTCCTCCCAGTCTCTCCCCTACCTCCCCCTGCCCCCATCCACTTCTGTTTCTATTGTCACTCAAGCTTTAAAACACAAAGTCAAAGTAACAACTCCCGCCTCAATTATTTCATTTAGCCATTTTCACCAACAAGACATCTAGCCGTGCCTTAGGCTAGCACGGCAGCATGCAGGTGAAAGAGGAATGTCTCTTTACGAAAGCCACATTTACACCAATGCTGGACTCCAGGCAGGAAGCTAGGAGCACAGTGGTCAATAAACACATGACTATTACAGCCCCCGAAACAAGACACAAGTACCACGCTCTAAGAGTCACTAATGAAGGAAGACTCAACACCAAAGCCATGTCATTCAGACAGAGATACCCTGGGAGAACAATTCTACCACTGTGATCCCCAGAGCTGACCCCACTTTACCAATACTCTATGACAATCAAAGTTCAGCCTGAAACTCATGAAAAATGAGAACAATCCAAAAATAAAATATTTACAAGCATTCAAGAAAATACACTGACAGCA